CTCACTAAGCTGGCAACACTCCCCCTCTCGTCAATGTCAAAATCAGCTGGGCGACTACCCCCCGCGCGAATGTTACTTTATCTGTTTGCTTGGCGTGACGCGCCAATTTCTTTAAGTTCTCAAAGATCACTAGAAGTTCGAACACACAATATTTGCGACAATAGCACGTAAATACTTCGCTACACTGATCTTGGGCTCAATCAAACATTTCTATATTAAATGTGACAATAATTCACTGTCATGGTATTACACACTGCCCTTCATTTAATGATAACTTATGTAGTATATATAACTGGAGTTCTCAGTAATTCCTTCCGTGGGCGATAACACAATTAATCACTGCACACATGAATGATTATTCAATACACGAGCATAGACATATATAATGATAATAACATAGTTACTGGGCACATACCCTAACTCCCAAATACTGGCATAATTATATATATATTTTCTCTCACTATATGATCACATTAAAGTCTCATGAAAGACATTATCCACACAGTAAATTCATCAATTACTCCGGGTGCCTGCATACACCAATAATAATCGTAAATATCGTGAGTACTCTTTATAGTACCACTCTGCACACTGGTGCCTTACTGTGACATAGGTGAGCCTTGCTCACGACATACAAAATACTCAGGCTAAATAATATAGCTGACTAAAGGGGAATTGGGAGGGAAACTAGAATCACCTACATCCACCTATCCTCCGATGAGAGTTGAGTTGTAGCTCCTGGTCCTGGCTCCTGCCTCGTGTAGGGAACGCCCCCACACACACACACTGTCGTGTCCTCCAGGAACTCAATCAACGTCCGACCATAAGCGCGTCGTCTCCGTGCCTTTTCCCTGCAGGTCCGTGCTCCTCCTCGACTTCTTGTAGGGTTGGAGTCGGTCTCCTGGCCGTCAACTTCTCCTCCCAGCTACGACTGCCCGCCTACGTCTCGGCTGCAGTCGTTCGGATTCCCAAATAGTTTCCTTCTTCCACTGCTTCCCGGTGGCTCAGTCCAGCCACTACGCCGTCACAAAAGGGTGAACTGCCTCAGACGTCGCATAGGTCACTGCACAGACTTCACTTCTTCTTGCACAGTACCTGTCCTGGAGCACTTGTTGCTCAATATCCCGTCGATTCCCTCTCTGGTCCACCACATGAACGAAGGAAGACCTCACAGAGTACTGGCAGACTTCGGGTGACGCGTAAAATCCATGGGAGTGGGAAACAACTGTCAAACTGACAGGACCAATCTTCGCACGTCCAACCTCCTTGACGTGTCGTGTCAGATTGATGGCGCCGCCGTGGCGCTCTGACCGGACCCCCCTTCCTTCGTGACGTCACATTCGCCACGGGAGGTTTTCATTAGCTCCCTGTGCCACAATGCTGTCGGTAACCAATCCGGTGTCACTGACGACACACAGTTTTAGCGGGAAAACAGAAGAGCCAGCGCCATATTGGCTTCCTAAAGGGCCTAAACCACAGCCCAAAATACTCTTTTTTTATAAATTTCTCGGCACTCCGAGAACACTACCTTCCCCCACATATACCAAACTGATGCCTGCAACGTAGAGAACGCTCGGGTAAAGTGGACATGACTCTTACTGCAGGCGTGGGAGAAATATAAGGGGGGGAACACCGTCACAATATATATATATATATATATATTATATATATATATATATATATATATATATATATATATATATATATATATATATATATATATATATATATATATATATATATATATATATATATATACTGTATCCGGTTGAGTAACGGTCATGAGCGCAATCGTTACCACAACGGAACCAGGTGTTTGGGTTGTCGACGCCCTCCCAGGGAGAACACCAATCAACATCCCACACCGTCTGTCAGGCAAAACATCTCACAGAGTTTCATTTCCACAGATAATTGATTAATTTGTTGACCAGACCACACACTAGAAGTTGAAGGGACGACGACGTTTCGGTCCGTCCTGGACCATTCTCAAGTCGATTGTGATCAATTGAATATGACAATCGACTTGAGAATGGTCCAGGACGGACCGAAACGTCGTCGTCCCTTCAACTTCTAGTGTGTGGTCTGGTCAACATACTTCAGCCACGTTATTGTGACTCATCGCCTGCAATTGATTAATTTATTAGAAGCTATCAAAACGACATCGGCCGGAACCTTATAACACATCACCAACGCAGCCCGTCCCCATGCTACAGCCAAATTATTCGCCCTCCTGAGAAAGGTCAACGACTCTCCTGGAACGACCCAAGCATGGCACAACCTCCTAATGTTTGGCAACATAAGTCTAGCCACTCCTGCAAGGAGAGAGAAAACCTTAGCTGCCTCAGTCATCAAAGCTATAAATTATTTTCCCCAGGGAGGACAACCAGGTGCGCCTTCCCACTCGCGCGAGAAACACCCACGGCAGGAAGAGCAACAGTGGCGTATCAAAGACATAAAAAATCAGAGAATCATTCCGTCCATCAAAACGAAGAGACGTTTT